TCTGCCGAGTCGACATCAGCCTCCCCACGGCTTTGGGACACAGGTTCCAGCGCTGGCCTCTGGAATCCCCATGAGGGTCCTTCGGGTATTTGAAGACAGGGATTATGTCTCCCTTGACTCATCTCTCTTCTCAGATGAATTGCCCTGATCTCCCTGACTCCCTCAGATGGCAGAGTTTTCTTACCTCCTGGTCATGCTGCTATTGACACACTCCAGTCTGTCCTGTCTCTCTAGGAAGTCTCTAGAGTTCTTATCTCTCTAAGAACTCTAAGGTCTAAGGGACCCGACACGGGACTCTATCCTCTGGACCAGACCACCTCCGAGAAGAATAAAACCACTCCCCTCCCTCCCTCTCATCACCCAACCTCTAGTAACATGACCTCAGGACCCACCTACATTTTGGTGCTTGAATCACAGAAAACTGTGACGGGGCAAAGCAATATTAATTACGTCCCTTTCACAGATGAGACCCAAGGCCCAGAGAGAAGCGGCTCGAACACCAGCTACACAGCTAGCAAGGGGAGAGCTGGGACTCACATCCAAGACTTTCTGAATCTGATTCCAGACCGAACAACTCCTCCTTCCCTGGATCAGGGTTCTCTCCAGGTTACACGTTAAGTCCTTGACACCTGAACATGGGGGGGGGGGGGTCTTCACAGATCCCCCTCCCTCTCAATGGGATGTCCCCGGGGATCCTAAGTGGGGTCCAAGGAGCTGGTGTGGGAGGGCTGGAGTAAGGAGCCAAGAGCACAGAGGGCTTCCCAGAGCTGGGGGGCGGGGCCTCTCACCTTCAGGATGAGGACAGTGATGAAGGCGATGGAGAAAATGATCATCATCTTGATGAAATGGCTGTGAGCCATACCCTCCTGGCTGGGGAGATAGTTCTGCAAGAGATTTGGGGGCCACGTCAGGGCCTCTGCCCTCAAGGGACTCTTCCAGCGTCCACACGTGGAGGAATGACACAGGCGTGGCACAGCCATCATCCTGCCCGACCCCTGCCAGGGGCGCGACCTACCATCAGCCCCAGGCGACAGGCGAGCTCAGCAAGCCCGCCCACTTGGCTCTTTCCTGGCTGGAGCACCCGGCCCCCAGCTGCGGTGGGGCCACGCCGATGTCCTTCTCCAGAGGACGGGCTCCTGGACGAGGGCTCTGGGAGGTACGTCCCAGCCACACCAGTAAGCCGTGTCGGGAGTGGGCCCTCCAGAGCTAGTCAAGCCCTTGGCGTCCGCGGCCCCCTCCCCACCTCAGGTGTAACCTCAGGAGAGACCCTGAGTGTGAACGACCCAGCTGGGTCTGCTCCCTCGGACCCAGCGTGAGACAGCAACGGTTAGCCATTCCGCGTCACTAGGTTTGGGGATAATTTGTCAGACCGCTAGAGACAACGAGTATTATGTCTGCGGTGCAATTCACACATCAGGGCTCCCTCTGGGATCGAGCGGGGCCGCCCCCAAAGTCGCGCGTCCTCCCGGCTTCTCCTTTTGCCTCCCCTGCTTCTCTGACTCCTTTTCAAGCGACGTCCTGAGAGCTCTCCTTCGAGAAATCACCCCCACCAAGAGTCCTCCTCCCAGGCTCCGCTTAGGAAGGGGGCCCAGCCTGAGCACCGAGGCACAGAGAGGGGAAGCAGCTTGCTCCAGGCCGCAGAGCCGGTGATGGGCGCCGCCCCCTAGCCCAGACTCACCATGTGGTTCATGGCCTTGAAGTTGAGATAGGTGGGTACTTCCATGTAGGAGCTGCAGAGTGTCAGGACGCTCAGGCAGAAATCCAGCAACTGCAGGGTCATCAGGGGGACCTTGGGGGCGCCCTTGGGAAGGCAAAGGTGGGAGGAAGGAAACAAACCGGCAGTGAGGCCCTAACCCAGAGGTCCCGGGGCTGTGGGGCACACGGTGCTCCCTCAGCCCGAGAGACACTCCGCCAAGGATGCTGACGACTGTCCAGCCCACAGCACCCAGAAAGAAACGGACGCCCGTTTCTCAGACATTCCCGCCAAGGGCTGGTGGGGGGGCTCCCGCGGCCCAGCCCGGGTCCAGCAACTCAGTCTCTTCCAGGACAACAGTTAGGGAAAGTCTGAAGGTGACTTTTGGGGCGCCGAGTCAGGGAGCGGCACCCTCCGTCACAGGCACTGGCCCTCATTGTTGTCTTTAGCCTCCTTCCTTCCGCTAGGTCACAAAGGAGGGACAGAGCAGGGGCTGGGGACTGAAATGGCCATGCGCCCTTCCCTGTGGCATAGCATCACGTGTGGCTGGCATTTGATTGCCCGCAAGGCGCTGAGCGCCCCGGATACACCTCCCTCCCTGAATGCCCATAACACTGTTGACGATGTGCCATCACGGGCGCATTTTCCAGAGGAGGAGGCTTGGGGCGATCCGACAGGGCTCGGGCTCATCACCCAGGGAGGGGCCCCGGGGACTCCCACCCTCGCCAGCCTGAGCCCCTACCACCTCCCCCAGGCAAGGGGGGTGGTTGTGGGACGTGGGTCAGGGCTGGGTACTCACAACCCTGCTGCTCCGGGAGGCAAACTTGAGGTAGGAGGGCAGCTCGATGTAGGAGCCCAGCAGAGTGAGCAAGCAGAGGAGGAAGTCCATGATTTGCAGGGACAGGAAGGGCAGCAGGTACTTCTCCCGGTTCTGGAAGACAGGCCCGGCACGGTCAGGGTGTCCTGTGCGGCCCGACGCCCCCAGGGACCCCCCTCCCTCACCGGCAGCTCCCTCCCCCGGGGAGTATGGCCCTCTCCCAAATCATCCCCTCCTGGCTCAGCTGAGGTCGTTCCTCGTGGACCCCACACCCTGGAGTGAGATTCTGGGGATGGGGAGAAGGTAAGACCCAGGCCCTGAATGCAAGGCGTCTCGATGTCCCAGGAGACACAGGGCACAGTCTCCATCTACAGAGATAAGTGCCCCAGGGCCTTCAGGGGCAGGGTCTGACTCAATGTGCTCTCAAGAACCCAACAAGGAAGGGCTTTGTGCCCATTTCACAGATGAGAAGGGATCAGAGAGGACTTCTTAGGGGTGGGGACACTGAGGCTAGATCTGGAAAGAACCACAAGGGGGACGGCAGGCGACAGGAGGCAGAAGGGCCGAACAAAGGTCCGGTGGTGGGGAAAAGTCTGCACTGGCTTAAATGGTGGGACCCTTCCCTAGGTGGCCACTCCCAGGGGGTCCAGTCACGGTCAGAGGCCCTGGGAGGCTGAGGCCAAAGTCCCTTTCCTTCAAACCGAGGGGGCCAGTATGAGTGCATTCGAACCCGCTGTTGGGGACAAAGTCACAGAAGGGGTGGTTTTGTGGCTTCTCGGGTGGCTGGCTAAGATCACTCAGGAGGCCACCAAAACAACCCAGACTCCATCTCAGAACCTTCCGGACGCCCCGATCCACTTTTCTAGCTGGACCACTTGCGCCCCGCGACCCGCCCTGCCCAGGGTAAAATCACTCCCTGGGGTACCGGGCTTCCGAAAGAGCGGCATCGGCTCAGGGAGTGAATGGTGGCAGTTCAGGCAAAGTGGAGGCGTTCCAAAGCAGCCCCAAACCATCCACTGCCCCACCGCTGCTGGCCTGTGAGTCCCGGGCCGCCGGCTCCCTGGGGCGCCCTTGCTGGGTCCTGCTCTGGTGCCTGTGTAGTGAGGCCCTAGCTTCCTGCCCCCTGGGGGCCGAGGGACAGACTGGTTCCTCTTCACAGGAGGCTGAGCCCCAGTCTCTCTCTCTCTCTCTCTCTCTCTCTCTCTCTCTCTCTCTCCTGCTAGCTGGGTGAAACAGAGCCAGAGGCGTCTACACCCCACCCCACCCCCACCTCTGTTCTGGTTCCTCTCACTGATGACAAAACCCGCTGCTTTCTCCTCTGTCCCCAGGCCTCAAAATGACCCTTCTCTTTCCCCTGTCAAAACTCCCTGCTTGCATTGGCAGCTTACGAGCATGTGGGTCACCAGCTAGTACAACCAAAGCATCCGTGTGCAAGCCCCACCCATGGAGCGTGCATTTTAACGGGGAACCAAGGCCTCCAGCCTGACGAGTCTGGTACAGAAACGAGACTTTCCAAACGGTCAGGAAGCATGGCGATCTCTAGGGTGCAGGGGCGGGGAGGGGGGGAGTCTCCCAAAATACCCACCTCCCACCCTGTTGGCAGCCAGTGCTGCCCGCTCAGTGGGTGTGAACAGGAAGGGGGGCAGGAGGGCATCTGGGGTTCCTTGCCAGGCCCCAGGTCCGGACCCCCGTCCCCTCCCCGCACCAAGCCCTCACCTTGACCACTCCGATCAGCAGACTCAAGCTGATGACAAAGAGCATGGTGATGAGCAGGAAGCTGGAGATCAGGTTGGCTGAAAGGCAAAGGAAAGCAGTGAGCAGCCCAGAGGTGCCCCCAGGAACCCCATGCAGGTTCCAGGGACCACATTTTGGGAGCCACTGGTGTGGTGGCTATGACAGCGAAGGAGCAAGCCCAGGCCCTGGCCTCCTGCAGTTCTCAGTCTTGGGGACTACTAAGGCAGCAAACAGAACATTTCGGGTAACACAGGACGCAAGGTGGGAGGGTGGCCCGAGTCTGCCACCCCCGGGCCCAGGGCAAGGTCAGGGAAGCCTTCTGAGGAGGTGGCCTGTGAGTGGAGTGACCAGGAGTCCAAGGAGCTGAGACGGGGCTGAGCGAGGTGTGGCCAGCGCCACCGGAGCGGGGAGCAAAGGGACGCTGCAAGGTGTAGCCGGAGAGGTTCGCCGGGGCTGGATCCCACCATGGGGAGGTTCTAGTTTATTCCAGGGTGGTGGGCAGCCATTGACAGAGGGAGGCAGGAGAGTCCTGCCATCACCTTCCTGAGCTGGTTAGGTTCGCGAAGCACCAGCCTCTCTGCTCTCCCACCAAGAGACTTGGGTGGGGACAGATCTCCCTTTGCCGGTGAAAGATCTGAGGCTCAGAAGGGAAGGGGCAGGGCCTCAAACCCCAGCCCGTCTACCTGCCGCCAGGGCCCCTCCGCCTCCCGGGTCCCCTGGACCTACCGAGCCTGAGGTAGCCATTCTGCCAGACCTTGCAGGAGGCCTTGCCATGGGCCACCTCCACGGAGTGCTCGATGAACAGCAAAACACTCATGATCTGCGGGCAGACAGAGCGACCATCAGTGAGGCCTGCACACCCCCACGCCTGCTCCCGCCCACCCTGGTGGCAGGCAGTCAGGGGCCTGGGAGGAGGCTCCTGGAGGAGACGGAAGGCCAGGTCCGTGGAGCATCCCGGATGAAAGTGTGGCCTAAACAGATAAGACGGCTCAAGCCCATAGTCCTCCTCCTTCCTTTTCCCAGCTGTGTGAGCTTGGGCTAGTTACACAGCCTCTCTGTGCCTCAATTTCCCATCTGTAAAATAAGGATAGCACTAGTAGCTACCTAAGGTTATCATGAGGAATAAGTCAGAGCATCCCAGGAGAGCACTTAGAACCATGCCTGGTTCTTGATAAAACAATAACTATGACTACTGAAGGTCAAGGTTGGTGGCGGGGGGTGGGGGGGGAGGCTCTGAGGGCTCCCGCCAGTGACTGGCCCCTCTTCTGCACCTTCTTTTATAACAGGCTCTGGGCATTATGGGATCTTAGTCATGGCATCTGAGCATCATAAAGCTTCAAGCTCTTGGAATTCTCAACACAGGCCTGGGAGCACCTGATCCATGAATCCCTGGGGAGCCCTGTCAATACCAATCCCCGGGTGCCCTCAATTTCTCCATCTGCAAACTGGGGAAAATAATGCCTGCTTCATACAGTTGTAGTGGAGCCAGATGGAATAATTCACTTGAAGCACCTATGCTTGCTATTATTATTGCTATTATTCCCACTGGACTGAAGGTTCCAGGCAGGGAAGGCTTGTGTCTCTCTTGCTCACTGCTCTAGCTATTGTATTGGATGGATGGATGGATGGATGGATG